GGAATATAACGTATAGAACACAACACGGAATATAACATAACACAATATGAAATATAAGCTCTTACGGCGCCTAGATTTCCATGGGAAATGTTGTTAATTGCTGTCGAGTCAGTTCTGACTCAGTAGCAACCCAATATAGGGTTTCCAAAGGGCAGCTGATGGGTTTGAACTGATGATTTGTGTTCAGACCAACCTTGTTGTGGTCCAGGGCTTATCCTACAGCACCACACCAGGCCTCCTTGTTTGTTGTTGTTATGTGCCGTGGAGTCGGTTCCGACTCATAGCGACCCTGTATAGGGTTTCTGAGGCTGTGAATCTTTATGGGAGCAGAAAGCCTCATCTTTCTCCAGCAGAACATCTGGTAGTTTCGAACTGCTGACCATGAGATTAGCAGCCGGATTTGTAACCACTACACACCAGGTCTCCTTAGCTGGACAATAAACAGTTAATTAGCATATCAATATAGCTTGTTGATTCAGGGAAGGGGAGAGTGGAGGGATATGGGGAGAGGCTATGATTTAGTTAGGGTTGTCAGGGTAGACCATATTAGGAAAGGTCCTCTTTGCTTCTTAGCGTTTCATTTCAAAGACAAACCTCAGGGCTTTATAGTTGTTTACTGGAATCGACATAAAGAACAACAGAAGTTGAGTTCATTCTCCTGCCGAACCTTCAGCTATGCTGCTTCCAATAAGTAATTCTCAAATGATGGAGCTAGTAGTCATAGTTAAGTAAAAATGTTATGGTTCCAAAAACTGACTTGTGTCTGGTGAGCTGGGAAAATGCGGTGTATTTTCTGATTTGGTTTCTGCGTGGCTGTTGTTGCTATTGTTAAGTGCTGTTGGTTTCTACAAGGTTCTTTAAATCCATTGTGCATTTTTTTTCAGTGTTGGCAAGTCCATTTGGTCTTTCCCTTCTCTTTTGTCCATCAGCATGCCTATTCCTGTTTTTTCATTGAGGCTTTTCTTATATGTAGTGGACATTTCTTGAATTATTATTTATGAAGCATTTTCTATGCATTGTAGAAATACACCAGTGAATTTTAAAAGTGGCCCTTGTCCTCAGAGAAGGTCCCTCTGTAGTACAAATGATTTGGGTTTGACTGCTCTCTTAAAGGTAGGTTGTTCAAGGCCACCCATTGGCACCATGGAAGACAAGCCTAGCAATCAGTTTCTGTTAAGATTACCACCAAGAAAACCCTATGTACCACATGGGGTTGTCGTGAGTCAGAATCTATGCCTGTAAGTTGTGTGTTTTCTTTTTTTGTCCTCAGAGAACTTAGGCTTTATTGGGGGAGACAGGTGTGTTATCACTTCACAAAAGAATGAGAATTTTCAATATAGAAATATAGTAGTTAGGGAGCACAGAACGGGGAGCCCTTCCTTTAGTATGAACAGCACATTGGGGAAACTTTGCAGAAGCATTGACATTTGAAAGGCATCTTGAAAAACGCATAATGTTTTCATAGACCAAAGTGGTATTGGGCCATCCCAACCTGCAAGATCTCTGAATGAGGGTGGTGAATGATTGTCGGTTGGGCTGCAGAATTGGCATTTTTAGGCCATTTAAATTGGAGAGATGTGATGCATGATATAAGACAAGAAAAATGAGATTCAGCTAGATCCTGAAGAGTATTAAAATACTCCGTCAAGGGTGGGAACCAGTATTTCAGATTGACTTTTCAGTGCCCGTCTTGGTTTTCATCTAGATTGTCGTTATTCATTTAATTTTCCATTAATATGACTATAATGTTCAACTGTAATTTTTAGCAGCTGGGTTAATTTTAATATGCATGGAAATACCTACTAGTTTATGCTCAAATCATTTTTGAAGTGTGTTTATTGCCTTTGGAAGCTGTGCCAGTATTTGATGCTAGCATTATTTCTAATGTGAAGGTGTTCACCCATGCCTCTCTATTTTTTTTTTTCTTCCAGGTTTTTAACAATCATTTTTTTCAAGTGACTCTTGACGATCTGAGACCAGAGCCTAGTAAACTCTCAATGCTGTGTCATGTGGATTCTTTGGGGATTTTGCCAGTACAATGGTGCCTTAAAAATGGAGTTAATCTCACACCTCCCAAAGGTGACTATTCTGTGACATTTGGCAGGGTCTGGGTGTCTTGGGAGGAGGGTGTTTTACTGTCATTGAAGTAATGCTTTTGTTAATCTGGAGAAGTCTGTATTGTGAGCCCTGGAGGTGTAGTGGGGAACGCAGCCTGCTTTGTAGTTAGCTTGATATAGAAGTTAGTTACAGCTCCATCAATTACTGGGATGTGTAACCAGGAACTTCTCCGTCAACTTTTGTAAATGGTCCTTCCCCACCAGCCATTATGGATAGGGTGCAGTATTGCTGACTGGTTGCAGTTAAAAGCTTCAAAGTATCTGTGAAATGCGTTTAAAATGCAACAAAATGCTAATGAGGCATTTCCTTAAACTTTTAAGTCAAATTTTCCCAAGAGCCCACATTGATCCCAGATATTCAATAATTAGATACCATAATATGTTAAAATAATTAAATCTGGAGACAGATGACATTGAAATAATTTTAAACTGGAAGCTGATAACCCATTATTAAATTTTAAATACTTGTAATTGAAGCCCTGGTGTGGCACTGTAGGATAAGCACTCAACTATAAGGTCTATTTGAGCCACAAAGGTCGGCAGTTCAAACATACCAGCTGCTTCTTGGAAATCCTGTACAGGGTCGCTATGAGTCAGAACCAATTCTATAACACTTAACAACATGCTTATAATTGGAGTCCTGCTGTGGTGCTGTAGGATAAGTACTGGACTGCAAGGCCATCAGTTCATACTCACCAGCCTCTCCTCAGAAACCCTGTACAGGATATCCGAGTTTCTAACCAACTCAACGGCACTTAATGACAATAGTGTTTGCAATTAAGTTGTATGGTTTGTTGTTCCTATAACTTATGCAGGGGCAAGGTGAGAGGTGAAAATATGAGAACTTAGTTAAAAAGGGGTAGCAGAAGAGAAAACTAGAAAGAGATTATTAAAAATAAATTTAAGGAAAAGGGTAGATTTTAAGAGAACCTCAGATAACACAGGAATTTGAAATATCACTTGGTATCAGATGAGCTAGAAGTCCAAAAGTTAAAGAAAAGGAAAAATGAGTTTAGATGAGACTTATGGAAGAACAAGGATTCTCCTATATCCGTGGTGAGAATGTAGGTAGATACGACCTAAACCAAGGGCAGTTTGGCAATATTTACTAAAATTATAAATGTGTTGACCCTTAACTCTGTAGTTCCACTTCTGTAAATTTATCATGTGATAAACAGTGGACTTTGAATCACAAGGTTGAGCCCACCAGCCACTCCTCAGGAGAAAGATGGGGCTTTCTGATCCTGCAAAGTTTTAAAAACCTTGGAAACCCTATACAGGGTCACTATGAATTGGAACCGACTGGACGGCACATAACAACAGCAACGTTGATCCATTGACTCCGTAGTTCCACTTCTGGAAATTTATCCTGAACATATACCATAAAGATAAACAACATATATGGAAGTTCTGTTGTGTTCTCTCTTTTTGTGCAGCATTATGTATGATAACAAAACATTGGGAAAAATTCAAGTGCCTATCAGTTGTTGTTGTGAGGAACCATTGAGTTGGTTTCAACTCATAGCGACCCTGTATAGGGTTTCCAAGGAGCGGCTGGTGAGTTTGAACCACCAAGCCAAATGCTTTATCTGACAGCGCCACACCAGGACTCCATCTATCAGTAGGGGAGCTGATTAAATAGCTTGAATATATGAGTGGGTTTTGCAAAGTTTATGGAAAAAATCCATTTTCTTTTTAAGTCCATTTTCCCATGAACTTTTTGAAGCCTCCTCATCTATTTAATGAAATCTATACAGTTGTTAAAAGGAACAAAGAAAATCAGTGTGTACTGATATGAAAAGCTTCCTAAGACATTCTGAGTGATACAGATCAGTCGATAGAGTATAATACATTTTTCTGTGAGGAAAGAGAAATATTTACTTGTATTTCTATAAAGAAACTCTGGAAGGTTGCATAAGAAACTAATAAAAGTGATTAGCTCTGTGCTGTGTGTGGTAGTGGAGAGCAGGACAGATGCAGATAAGGGTAAATGAAAAACTTTCACAGAATAATTTTCTATACCTTTGTAATTTCTAAACCTTTACAACCAGATAGATGTATTATCTAATACCTAACACATGGGAGTCCTGGTGTGGCACTGTGGGTTAATGCACTGGACTGCAAAGTTGATATGAACATGGTCAGCAGTTCAAACTCACCAGCCACCCCATGGAAACCCTGTACAGGCTCACTATGGGTCAGAACCGACTTGTTGGCACTTAACAACAGCAACAACAATATATATGTATGGAATCTTAGTATGGCATTTTGGGATAAGTGGTAGACTGCAAGGTCATTTGGAACAGGTACTATTTTAGTTGTTAGTTTGACTATATTTTTTTATTTCCTTAAGTAATCATGAATTTGGTCATGGTTATCATGTTTGTTTAAGAGAGTTTTGGAATTCCATATATACTTACAAAATTATCTCTTTCAGCTGTGTTTTAAATTTTATTGCCGTATCATTCTGTTGTTGTTAGAAGCCATCTACTTGGTTCTGATTCATACCATCCCTGGATAGGGTTTCTAAGGAGCATCTGGTGGGTTTGAACCATCAACCTTATGATTAGCAGTCCAATGCTTATCTTACAGTGCCACACCAGATCTCCACCATTCTGTTAGTTCAAACTATTAGCTGTTTATTCAATATTTTTATCTGTTTGCTCTCTAAATTTCAGGAAGCTATGTTAAACTGTCATTCTGAGATTGAGGATTTGTCAACATGGTTTTTGCATTTGGAGTTAGTTGTATGTTAGAGTATTTAGATTGAGAGTCCTTAAATTTCCTCATGATTATTCTCTTTATACTTAGCAAAGCATTTTGCTTAAAGTCCATGTTGTCTGACTCTCCCTCATGTTGATTTCTTTCCTTATGTGGTTTGTGATTTTTCATTGTGGATTAATTTTCATTGATGGTTGTTATTTATCTGGAAGTTCCATGTCTCCTAGATTTCAGCAGTTCCTCTGTAGGTAATGTTATATTAGCTTCTGTCCAGTAGTCCTCTGTATGTGCTTTATTGTTGTTTTTTTCCCCCATAAGTCCTAGAGGATTAATTTGTTGCTGTCTCTCTCTGCACACTAGGAAGTAAGCCCCTTAGAGTCAAGGATTTTTTTTTTTTAATCTCTTTCATTTATTTAAAATAATGCCTAGTAGATACTACTACAACAACAGAATGATATGATTTTTAAGGGATTAATGACTGAATCTTATATTAAGTCTTCAGTCTATGCCATACAGAATCATCATGTGAGATCCCATACCTACATGTGCCATTTATCTCTTCTTTCCACTTCCTCTAAGGGAGACCTGGACAGGTAGCAGCCATCCTCGCTGTTTCTGTGTCCCAGTGGGCCAACTTTGTCTAGTTCCATCTTCACAGACTGGACAACCTGATGAAGTTGTATATTACATAGGAGATCCTGCTCACTTCCTGTGAGCCCAGGATCACCTCTGACCCTGTTTCATTTGTTGGACTTCTCAGCACTAGTGTTGAGGGCCCTTTGGGTTTTTGGCACCTGGACAATTTTCTTCTCTTTCAAATTTGGCTATATAGCTAATTGAAATTATTATTATTATGTTTTCTCTGGCATCTGGGGGGAGTCTATATGGTCCGGCTGTGTTATTGTTGGACTTAGAAGAATGATCTATTTCTAGCTTCCTTCATCCATTCTTGAGCCAAAGAGTCATTTTCTATTAAGAAGAGGTGGGGAATAAAACTCTTTATTATTAAAAACTATCAACTCTTCTTGGTTACTTACCTCTTACTTCAGGATCTTTAATAACATTTTACTCTTGTCAGTTGATATTTATGTGATATTAGAATCTATCCTGGTGGCATCCGAGCATCTCCTAACATTATGTTTATAACTCAGATTAGCACGTGATTCCATAAACATAAAAGCAAAGACTCAACTGGAAATTAATATGTAAGTTTTAAAGATGAGTGGACTCCTGGTGTGGAGGCATAGGATAAGCACTTGACTGAAGCACAAGGTTGGTGGTTGAAATCCAAGAGCCACTCTATCGAAACCCTATCTGTACAGGGTTGTTATGAGTCAGAACCAACTTGATGGTCCTAACAACAAAATCAACCAAAACCAAGAGATCATTGCCAGTGAATCTATTATGACTCCTTACAACCCACTAGGACAGAGTAGATTGTGCCATAGGATTTCCAAGGCTACAAGTCTCGATGAAAGCAAACTGCCTCATCTTTCTTTCGAAGAGTGGTTGGTGGGTCCAAACTCTTGATAGTTTGCAGCCCAGCCCCTACTCACTGTGCCACCAAGGCTCCTGATAAAATGTGGTATGTTGTTGTTGTTAAGTGCCGTCGAGTCCGTTCCGACTCATAGCATAGGGCTTCCAAGGAGCGACTGGTGAGTTTGAACCACCGACTTTGTGGTTTAAACTGACTTTGCAGTCCAGCACATTAACCCACTATGTCTTAACCAGTTATGAATGCTCTTGTGTATGGGGAAAGTTTAAAATTGTACATAATTAACTGAAAAGATGGATGTAGCTGGCAAATTTTAAGATTGTAGTTTTTAGCAAACAGCATGGAGTAATTATTGTTATGTGGCATCAAGTCAGTTCCGACTCATAGTATATAGGGTTTCTAAGGAACGACTGGTGATCTTGAGCCTCCAACTTTGCAGTCCAGAGCATTAACCCACTATGCTTTAATCAATTATGAATGGTTTTGCCTTCCTGCTTGTTATTGTTGTTGCTAAGTGCCGTCGAGTCTGTTCCAACCCATAGCAACCCAGTGTACGGTTTCCGAGGAGCAGCTGGTGAGCTTGAACTGCCAACCTTGCAATTTGAATGACTTTGCAGTCTGGCACTTTAACCCACAACCCCACACCATACAGAAACTGCTTCATGAAACAAATGTAGAAAATGTTGAGAAATATTTGTTAAGGAACAGACTACGTGGCTCCTAGGACCCATTCTACCACCTAATGTCTGAGTGATGTGCTTCCTCATTTGTAAAAAAAAATTTTTTTTAAGTGCCTTTGAGTTGGTTATTATTTATAGCAAACCTGTATAAGGTTTCTGAGGAGTGGCTGGTGAGTTTGAACCACTGACCTTACTATTGAAACCGACCTTGCCTGTTGAGTTCTTACCCTACGGCACCACACCAGGACTCCATATCATAGTTACCTCAGGAGATTGTGAGGAGTACATGTACTAGTACATAGCCTTAGTAAGTGTTCCAGAAATGTTGGTAATGTTGAAAACAATAGAAGTTTGGAAGGAGAGAGGTGATCTTTCAATAAAAAGAGTAAACCAAGAAAACCAAACTCATTGCTTTGAAGTCAGTTCTAACATCTAGCGGCCCTGTAGGATAGAGTAGATCTGCTCATGAGGTTTCCAAGGTTGTAAATCTTTATGGAAACAGACTGCCACATCCTTATCCTACAAACAGGCTGGTGGGTTCAAACCACTGACCTCTGATTAGTGCTGAGTGCTTAACCACTGCACTATCTCTCTGGGCTCCTTAATCAAAAGAGCGGTTCATTAGAAACAGTGTCCATTGGCGCTACTGTAATGATTCACAGGGTTTTCTGGGAAAGGATCAAGAACCTGTTCTTATAAAGTGGTTTCTCTCTAGTTGTTTTTCATCCCTATATCTAATCTTGATATTTACTGATCTTTGAAGATTATTGTATCACTTTTCCTTTTGAAAGAGGTTGAACTACAAGTTAAATAAGCTTGCTATTTACTCAAGATATTATCACACTTTAACATTGCAAACATTTTCTGAGGTTAAGATTCTCTCCCTGGTGCTCCAGAGTGAGTCATTGAGGACATAATCATAGTGCACAGATTCAGCTCTGTTAGACTGCTGTGTGGGGCTCAGGCCTGTATGCTGAGATTCTTCAGGGCTTTTCCCCACAAATTCTCCATGTTCCTCTCCATTTTTGCTTTTACCTCATCACCATGTTATAATCTTCGGGCTGTGTCTGTGACTCCCCAGAGCCTATGGGACCACATGAAAGCTGAGATGTCTTACCAGTAACTAACCTGAGTCTGACAAACTTAGAGTGACTAGTTATTGTTAACTGCCATCTAGTCTGTTCTGACTCATAGTGACTCTGTAGAAGCAGCTGGTGAGCTTGAACTGCCGACCTTGCAGCCTAGTGCATTAACTTGCAGCGTCACACCAGGACTCTCTAGAATGAATAGTTGCTGAATAAATGCATTCTTTACTTTGAAAGTGTTATTACTTCATAAAACTTCACTTTTTTAAGAATTAAAAACATTTTTAACTAAAGACAACACGTAACCATTCTTTCAACATTAGAAAAAACACAAAAGTTTAAAATATATTACTTATAATAACCTGGTCCTGGAAAAAGACAAACAAAAACTTTGGGGATTTATTCTTTCAGATTTCTATTTTCTTGGATATATAACTTTTATATCAGATTATTTTGTGTACATTATTTTGTAAACTGCTTTTGTCGCCTTTTAAGACATAGCATGCCGAGATATCTACTGCTTTAAATGACTGTAGAGTCCAGAATCATGTATGCAAATAATTTGAGCAGTTCCCAGTGTTCATGTTTGTTGTTTTCAGTCCTGCAGTTAAAAATCAAATGTTTGCATAGTTGTCCTATTATTTCCATAGGCTACTGCATAATACACTTAGAGTAGTACTGCTCTTTCCTTTGCTCATTGTCTTCTAGCCCACAGGCCTCCTTGCTGATCCTGGAACTTGTTCCATTGCCCTCACCTATTTCCCAGAGAACGGCACAGCTAATTTCCTCAACTTCTCCAAGTCTTTGCTCACATTCTCCCCTTTGATTGAGGGCTTCTGTGGAGTCCTGGTGTGGCACTGTGGGTTAATGCACTGGACTGTAAGGTCGGCTTGAACCACAGCTCGGTGGTCCAAGCTCACCAGCCGCTCTTTGGGAACCCTCTACATGGTTGCTATGAGTTGGAACTGACCTGATGACACTTAACAACAACAACATCATGTACTAAGACAAACCATTTGACTAACTGATGTAGATAGGAGCCATACCTAACTGTTCCAACTCACATACACATTCAACTTCAAGACAGAATTAGGAATGGAACTTGTTTGTAATCTGGGAATTGGCTGTAGTATAACAATTGACAATGTAGCAGCAACAATGGGTTCAAACATAGCAATTGTGAGGATGGCAGAGGACCCGGAAGTGTTTTGTTCTGTTGTGCGTAGGGCTGCTATAAGTCAGAACTGACTCAGCAGCACCTAACAAGGGATACAGGAGGAGTCCCGCTCAGTTGCCATTGAGAGGTCAGGGGTGGGAACCTACAAGCTTCTCTTTAGGAGAAAGATGTGACAGTTTGTTTCCATAAAGGAAACCGTGTGGGGCAGTTTTACCTGCTTTATAGGTTCTCTATGACGATACTCTGGTAGCGTAGTGGGTTACATGTTGGGCTGCTAACCATAAGGTTAGCAATTCAAGTCCACCAAGTGCTCCGTGGGAGAAAGATGACGCTTTTTGCTCCTGTAAAGATTTATAGCCTCAGAAACCCTATACAGGATCACTATGAGTTGGATTCAACCACCACCACCGCCACCACCATGAATTGGCATCAAATAGAAGGCAATGAATATTGTAATAAAACCTAGCTTATAAAATGCCCTCAGATATTTTTGAATGAGTATATAAATGAACAAATGGCTAGGTTGTAAAGTGCTATCTAGTTGGTTCTAACTCAGTGACCATGTACAGAATTTCTAACAAGGAAACTG